TTTATTTGGTTACGTCAGTGACACCTGAGACTGTCAGTGACATCAACGAACTAATATCGGCACTAAACTACGCTCCACATATTCCTTAATATTTTTATAAATTGATTTGCACAAAGTTATTGCTTTCAGAATCAAGTGTTTTGCTAACACTGTGAAAGTATTCTGAATACAGTTGTTTAAGACAGAAGCATTCGTAAGGTTAAAAGAACTAGACAACTGTATAATAAACGTAAATAACCCTACATTGAATTATACCTTTTTAAACCCCTAACGTGGTTGAAAGTGATTTAGGAGGAGATAGGTAAAAGACATTAAGACAAAAAAGGTAACAAATAGGTAAAAGTGAAGGATTAGACTATAGAAGTATCTAAATTTTCAAAATAAAGCAATACTTAACACTTAACTCTACCCTGGTTTCTGATAAGAACTAAAAGTTGAGTTCATTGTGCCTGAGTCTATCCTCCCATAGTAAACAGGTTGATGAGGAGTGAATGCCACCTACTTATAGCCGTTAACATTATTTCGGACTTCACAATGGTACTTCTTTCACATACTAGATAGTTAATTGGTTTCCTGACGCATATTCCATTTATAAGCTCTGGTGAATGATAAGAATTTATGAATTAAAACAACGTTTCGAAACGCTTCACAACCATAATTAATTAATTCTGGCGAAGATAAACTATTTTTGATGTAGTTGTGTTCTCTGAGCTCGATGGTTTATTTGCGAAGCTTTCATTGCCCTACTAGGTAACATGCTATCCTTCGATGTCACAGTATTATATACCTCAATCGGACAGAAACTAGCAAAACAGACCATTGAGCAGTTACTCAGCAACGACGAACACCTCCCACAACAATCAAAAATGCAACAAACAAATTGGATGGAATGCATAAACCTATGCCTAACAACGTGTTTTCAATGCAACGGCCAAATATATGAACAAATTAAATGAACACCTATGGGATCGCCCCTATTAGATTTGATTGAAGAAGCTGTGGTGCAAATACTCAAAACATAATCCTACCAAGGCTGAAACCCAAAATTTGGATACGTTACGTAGATGACACATTCGTAATAATCAAAATCCAATCAAAAGAAACTACTTAGACAAAACTCACAACCTAATAAACAACATCTGCAACGACATCAAATTCACAGGAGAAGAGGAATCCGAGGAAAAATCCCAGTTTTGGACGTCTTAGTCAAGCGAACAACCAAAGAAAAATCAGGGACTTAAGTTTACAGGAAATCAACCCGCACAGTCCAAATACTCAATTACAACAGCAACAACCAAGTAACATAAGAAAAGAGTTGCATACAAACATTATTCAAGAGAGCTAGAACTCACTGAAGCCTTCATACTTTAAGGAAAAATCAAAGGAAATATCTCATGGACATCTTCCAAAAGAATGGACATCCACGAAATTTCATCAAAATACATCTACCTCCAAGCCAACCAGCCAAATCGAAGGTTCCTAAGGAAAACGCAAAGAAAATCATCATACCAAATATAAAGTACGTCTCAGAAATCACTGCAAGACTCTTCTAACCCTTAGGAATTAATGTCGCACACAAACTAACAAAATTACTTCATTCAGCTCTGTGTCGACCAAAAGACTCGACAGCAAAAATATTCAAAACCAACATCGTCTACAAAACTAATTGCAATGATCTCGAAAAACACTACATTGGCCAAAGTGGACGTCCCTTTCGTCTTCGTATCCATGATCATAAACTAGCTGTCAAAAGACATAACATCGACTGCCTTATATGTCTGTATGCAGACAACCACAGACATCAGTTCACCTGGGACAGAGTTCGAATATTAGACAGAGGAAACACCGAGAATGCCAGGCAATTTTTGGAAGCCTGGTTTTGCGGCGAATCGTCAATCACTGGACACATTGACGTAGACAAACTTTACCAGTCGATAAGAAGGAAATCTCATATAAAAAGGGTCAAACTACAGGTCAAGGAAATAGTCGATACCAATACAAGCAGTTTAGAGGGTGTGAAAACACACAGAACAACCATTCACCTTCAATGTCACCAGGGGAGACAACTTTTAAACTCGTGGAGAAATCTAAAAGCCCACTTCAAATTGAAGTATGCGCCGAAGATGTTGCCTAGTTGGTCAATAGAAGCCTCGTGATTAAACCATCTAACTCAGAGAACACAAATACATCACAATCATCCACCTGAGCTACAAATCTTCTCCATCATATAAAATATTTTATCTGTGAAGGATGTTCTCAGAAGACGCCGGTGAAATTCATGATACATAAATAACTCTTCTGCATTTCCTCCAAATTAATCATGATACTTGTGAGTAGTGTATTTTTTCCGAGCAAATGTTTTGATGTAACGGACGATAGCAGTATTTATGATAAATCTCTTTTATCAACTGTTTTATTCTTATATCCTCTTAACAGAAGTCGAGAGGAGTTCATTCAATTTGCTATATGAGTTTGTGCTTAGGATGTGTTTGCCAAGTAGAAGTTCTTTTTTTTCATTCCTTCACGTTCCCAGTGGAACAAAGGGCTCCAAGCTAGAAGCTTGAAGTTTCTGTAGCAGTGTTTATTTTTACAGGATGGGGTTGCTAGCCTCGTGCACAAGCTTTCCCCTCTACCAGTTTTTATTTCTGGTTTAGCGAGGTAAAGGAGTGCGTCGGCCGGAGATCGAACCCTGGACAATATGCATGGTCGGCGAGCGTCCTAACCGCCATGCCACCGACGCACACAATTAGAAGTTCTTTACGTCAATTATTTTATTTGCTAGAACTAGTAGACAGGATTTGATTAAAACTGAATATAAATGTCTTATTCTAATTATATCCATCATGTAATGATATCACTAAAATTTTTTCTCCTCAGAATTATTACATCTTATTAACACTTGATAGAGTTATAGCATGAACTTCGTGGATTTTCACCGACAAATATACTGTTCGATGAAAGCTCTGTAATAATATCAGCTTTTAATTCATTTTTAACTTCCCCCTTGGTTGTCTGGAATGAGATATTCGGCCTCTGTTGACAGACATATTGGGTCCTACCTAGCATGAACGCTTCGGCTATGTCTGAGGATTAACTTGAAGTAGTTTGTTGGACGGTGAAAAACAGTGGCATACAGGATTCGCGTTTCTTCCTAGGTGGGACTCGTCAGTTGGATGTGCCTGTTGTAATAATGTCGCAATTCTTCAAAATAGATTGCTTAGATAAAGCATATGATTGTATTTCTTTATTCCAGTAATAATTTCACTATATATATATATATATATATAATAGTGGTTACTGTGAACTTTTACCCAGTTGTCATATCCACCGACACAAATTAGTAACTTTTCAGGAAAAAAAATAAGAAATAGGTATACGACGACACAGTGTCTGACAATGAATCGTATACTTTCAGCTGACTAGGAATTATAATATTTCACACATTTATCCCCCTTAATGAACCTGAATAAAGCAAGGACAACAGCTTTTACAGAATAAAATGGTGCCATCATTTATTTCGTTGTTTTCTCACCGGCTGCTTACAGCCCAAAGACATTATTAAGTGTATCTACAGAAGCAATTTTAACATACTTGCACAGAGTTCATTTCTAAAGAAAAAATCACTCAGTCAGTATGTGTATACAACGCTAATAATAATAAACACTTTAATCCAAACAATATTAATTATACACAATGGAAACTTTCGGCGTTACGTAATCAGGTGAAAGAGAGGATGAAAACATCCAGTTACCGGCGCGAGGAAAGACTGATAGCTGCTTCTTTCTCAACACATTAATCGGGTTTCCGGCGTTTGACAAAGATTACTTTGGCAAAATTGAAGAGAACTGATTTTTTTTGTCTACTGATAAATTTAAAGGATTTTGCGATTTCCACCTCATAACCCATATCAGGGAGATGCTTGGTAATGGCACTATTGTAAGCGTTTGTTCCCTTGAGATGCAGGTACATGTTCAGTAGATCGGAGGTGTGCCCTTCTTTCTGTTCTCCGAATGTAACTACTCCCGCAGATTCACTTAAATTTGTGTACACAGTTGGAGTTAACATGTGAAGGTTATCTGTCAACTACTGATTGAACCATAGAGCAAGTTGTTCGATAGACGCAAACCAGCTTAGCTGCAGAATAGGCTCTGGCTAGTGAGGACGTCACTAGCTAGTTGACCAGGTATTATAAGATTACTAATTAGTGTCCCGAGGATGATGAAAATTGCCAATAACTATGTAAGATTTGACTGAAAGGTGATCTTAAACCAGACTTACTAATTCAATATTATCTGAAAGAAATTTTACTTTGATATCTCTTATTCATATATATATATATATATATCGACTACCATTGGCGTTGTTAATACATAGTGTTGCAGAGACGTAAACTCGGTTGAAACACCTGTTCATTGTCCAATTATTTTCAATATTTCTCTAATTCTTGTTCGTTTGCAAAGAACAATTTCCTCCATGTACTTATCATTTGAATTATTTATTTGCTAATATCTTTTGCTATAATTTCTCTTGGTATTTAAAAACTCTCCGGCTTTTCTTCATGTGTTGCTGCCCTGAGTATTAGTAACATTAACAAGTGAAATTGAGTGATGCATAGTAAGTGACTGTGATTTTCTTTCTGTCGGTGTAGACTCTGAACAGAGTGAAGCTCAGCTCCTCAGTCAGCTTGACGTGATGGTATTGCTTCTGGTCCTAAACAATCCTTTACGCTGGTCTAATACACTTCGCAAACAGGATAGTGCAGTCAAACACTAAAACTGTATAAGTGCGTCTGGATTAGCTGAAAATAGATACTATGTAAATAAATCCCACTTGATCCATATACTAAAACATTTTTTGAAAAATATTTTTAACTTTTATCAAGAGAAAAAGAAAATAAAGTAGATGACGTATCGCTCATTTTATTTCTACAGCGCTAAATAAGCTTCGCGATAACAAAGTTATTCCCATTTTTTTCTTCTGTTATCTGTTTTTAACTTTAGGGACTGTGGTTTCGATTCTGAAGGGTATGGAAACAATTCGTCTGCAATATCACAGTCGGTTGTTTTACCTTCGTCAGGTTATGCACCAGTCGCATCTTCACTAAACAACTCATCACCATTAGGTACTGTCGGTGGCATTCCATCTCCATCGTCATCAATACTACATGGGATTGGAGAAGTAACTAGTGGAGCTAATACACCCAGTCTACATGGTGGTATTGAGTGGATGCGTAAATTAGCTTTCCGTTATCGTCGCATACGTGAAATTTATAACTGTTCAAGGTGAGCTTGAGTTTTTAATGTTACTCTACGTATCGCTTTTAATACAGTTTTAAAAGGAAACGATATATTTACCGTGTAACATGCTGTATGATCATTTTTTTTTACTTATTATTCATTTCACTCACATAAAAGATGGAAATAGTGGTTTGGAATCATTCAGCAAGGGATTTTAATTAATCTAGATTTTTTACTCCACAGCATTCGCCAGTGAAACGTGTCGGTATTCTCTCAGTGCATTTTATAGTTGAATAGACATAGCAAGAAGACAGAATCGAAAGTATTTCAAACTGTACAGTTATTTAGGAATTTACATATACAATCAATTCTCAATTTGCAAACTGGTTGGCGATTTGCAACTCTGCACAGTTAGACTGTGGAAATTTCACTGCAGTTTTCTTTGGAAACCAAGTTATTCAGATCACAGTATTTGATCTACTTGATGCCATAAATGGCAATCAAGAAAGCAAGCAAATTTGCACAAGACGACATCCTACTGATTGACTGAGATGATTGGTTGCATACCAATCATATCAATCAGCAGCGTTTGCTAGTCAAACAGCGGTAATCGGAACACCGGAAGGTCGTTTCTCTCATCTGGGGCTGAATTCATCAGCGGTGTATCCGGCTTGATTCAGCTCAGAGAACTAAATCAGTTCAAACCACCAGACGTCTGGCTAGCTATTTGGTCGAACTGGTCATACCATATAAGTGAAATTCACAATTTGCAAACTGGTGAGCAATTGGAAATTCACACACTTAGAATGGCGAAATTTAACCATAGTAGCTGGGTGGAAATTCGTGGTTTGGACTGATTCTGCTGAATCAAACGGGGTACATCACTGAAGAGCTCAGCCTCAAATGTTCGAAACGACCGCCCAGTGCTTGCATCACTTCGATCTGTCTAGCAAGAAATATTGTTTGATGTGCGTGATATACAAGTTCGCATTTCAACCACTCGGTGATATGTAGTTTTACGCATTTATGTATTCAGTGTTAACTGACAACTTAGGTCAGAGGTTATTGTCAGTTAGTAACAAAATAAATCTAAGTGTATGAGATATGATTTTTTTTCCTTCACGTTCCCCAGTGGAACATAGGGCTCCAAGCTAGTGGGTTGAAGGTTCTGTAGCAGTGCTTATTTTACAGGATGGGGTTGCTGGCCTCATGCCCAACCTTTCCTCTTTACCAGCATTATTTCCGGCTTAGCGAGGTAAAGGAGTGCGTCGGTCGGGGATCGAACCCCGGACCATGTGCATGTTCGGCGAGCGTCCTAACCGCTATGCCACCGACGCATGAGATATGATAGTACATCAAAAACAGTGAATGATCTTACGTAAACGAAAGGAGTGAGCACTAGTTTGTACGGTGATAAATAATAGTTTGGAAACAATCGATAAAGGACAAAGGAAGGAAGAATCGACATGATTCTTGTCAGCTGCAGGCTACCTGAGAACACAATGGTTATAAAAGAATGACAATAACATACTTCAATGTTTGGCATGATAACACAGAAAAAGTTATAAAATCAAAGCATCCATAATATAAACATTACAATTTCTTAGCTTTAGTCATCATCATTTCATATGGGTTTCAAAGTAGAAAACGAAGTGGGCGAGGGGAGAAGACGAAAAACAGAAAAATATAATATACACTGTTAGCTTGTAAGTTATCATAACAACTCAAGAAGATTATAGTTCATAAGACTGAAATTTAATCACTGAGCTGAAATCTCTAATATGAATGCCCTAGCGGTATAATCAAGATTACAATGCAGTCACCGAGGGAGTGAGAGAATGGTAACACACACTTGTATGCATAAGTTCAAAAAAATCAAATCAAAAGGACTATATTAAAGTTTATTATGCAACAATTCAGGGAAATAAGACTGATGAAAACAAAACACGTAGTTCAGTGTAGAGTCTCTATTCGGCGAATTCATTCACTGTATACATATATATATATATATATATATATATATATCACCTTTGTCCGATAAGGATAAAAATAAGTTACGGTTTCGATAGAGAAAGAAAGACCAAATTTGCAATATAAAATGATATCATTCCATTTCACAGGTTCTCATCAGCTGCACACTACCTGAAATTACAGTGTTTATATAGATGATAATAGCATACTTTAATGTTTAAGTGGTAGTAGAAAAGAAATACTATAAAATTGACACATCCAAAATGTAAGCGTTACAATTTTTAGTTTAAGTTTTCATCATCAATTTATACGCCTTCAAAGTAGAAAAGAAGGGGGAAGGGTAAGACAGAGAAAATTAACAAACAGTGTCAGCTCACTTAGCTTCACATAGCAACTCAAAAACAAAAGTGGTTACAGTTTATAAGATTGAGATTTGCTCAGTGAGTTGAGATCACTGAATTAGATGACTAATTAATGTAGTCGGAACCAAAATTCAGTTGCCAAGGCAGTGAGAGGTTAATCACACTCTCTTTCTGTATGCATAAGTCTGGTTAGAATCGTTTGATTGCGATCGCTCCGTTGTCTATTTAATATTTTGAGTTGCTATGTGAGCTAACACTGTTTGTTAGTTTTCTCTGTCTTACCCTTCCCCCCTCTTTTCTACTTTGAAAGCGCATAAATTGGTGATGAAAACTTAAACTAAAAAAAGTGATGCTTACATTTTGGATGCGTCAATTTTATAGTATTTCTTCTCTACAACCACTTAAACATTAAAGTATGTTATTATCATCTATGTAACCATTGTAATTTCAGGTAGTCTGCAGCTGATGAGAACCTATGGAATAGAATGATATCATTTTATACTGTAAATGTGGTCTTTCTTACTCTTTGAAATTCAGTAAATTACAATCAAATATCTCTAATCTTGTCCGTCTTACAAAGTCACATATCGAAAATGTTAAACAAACGTTACAAGGATTACTTGTTCTTCATACCGATGCGTCACTTATTTTATCTGAATTATCATTAATATGCCACATGAAATTTCTTCAGTTTTGTAAAGACGTTACTCAGAAAACAAAGACGAATATACAAAATAAGTTGAAGAGTTCAACTGATGATCGAAACCGCGTAGATGTTTTTCCGGTGAATCCTGATAAGTATGTTACAAATCTTTCTGATATTACTCTATCTACTCATCAGAAAGAAGCTTTATCCCTTGGACTCAAATTTTGTGTTCCTCGCACGCAATTTACGGATTTAGCCATCCATGCTGAGTTTGAAAACTTATATGACCAACTCAAACCTCTTGCCGCAACATCCGATGAAGATCGGGGGTGGTTTAAGGCCAAGATGGTGGATATAGCTCATCAGTTTTTAAACAACAACCCAAAGGAGAAAAGTATATAAATTCCCAGCATTTCAAAGCTTTGAAAGAGCTACGGGAAAATCCTAATATAATTATTACGAAACCTGATAAAGTTTCTGGGGTCGTCATTATGAATAAAAGTGACTACAAATCTAAAATGATGCCTTTCTAACTCTACTGAAATTTATCAAGGGAACCAAATGTATAAGTTAGGGTTATTGTTGTCAAGACATTTCCAGCATATGATGAGTAATCAAATTACAACTAGGAGTGTGGTGAAAATTGGTAAGAATGTAGTAGTGATGTGTTGTCAAAATAACAATGTTATTAAGGTTAAGCAACACACAAAAGAAACTGAAATAAGCGTGATGCAGTTACGTAATAAGATGAATAGTCTAATGAGTGAATTGTGATCAAGATGCACATAGAAACAGAAGAAAACATGGAACTATGTAAGAGATTTTAAAAATTACAAATGCTATAAGGAGTTAGAAAAACAAACAAACACACAAACTCAGGTCAGTACAAGTCAACTCGGTTGTTACCATGGTAGTAGAGGTGGTTGGATGATTTTCTTTCGTATACATAACTCTGGTTTCTCCAACTGAATGGCTAAGACTTCAGCAATACAAAGGAGACGAAACTGTATTGTCTTTGGCAGGTTGTTCTTCACTTTGTAGATCACTTTGAAGGAGGCATTTGTTGAGAAGGAATGATCACGACTATCACACTCCTTAAACAGCCACTATTACCGTTTTGTAGCTGTGCGGGAGAGTGTTCTTCAACCCTTTTGAACAGGATACGCTTCGAACAACAAATGTACCTGACTCCACAGCAACAGGTGAACTGATACTTGAACATAGAAGTGTCCAAATGCGAGATCTTGTCCTTAAGGCTTCTGCAGATCAATGGACGACTGGCAAACACTACTCTTAGAGTTGCTGCGAAGAATTCTTCTCTTGAGGATATCGCAAGCTAAGTCTCCCTTGAAATCCAGATTCATGCGAAGTATTTTTTTTGAAACAAGTGATGTTTCATTCATCTGAATTTTCGGTTTGATATTCTTGTCAACAAATCTTGGCAGGTATTTTTATTCTCATCGGACAAACCTAATGTACACAAATACAAAAGTTGTGACTGTCCAGTTAAGTGAATGAATTCGCAGAAAAGAGACTCTTCGCTGAACTAAGTGTTTTATTTTCCTTAATGCCTCATTGGGGATTATTCATGAAATGAGGTTGATACTATGGCCACGTAATAATAGAGGCTGGATAAAATGTTTCCAGATACAAACTTGTGGTCTTTCTTTTTGTATTGCTAAAGGTAATCAAATGATAACTCAGGTTCCCCTTGACATTTTAAACGAAATCTCTCATCGGTGAAGTCAGTTACCTTAACACTAAATTTTCCTCGTCACCAGTTTCCCCCCTTCAAACGGAAATGAATTATGCCTGCTAATTAGTGGTTAGTCAGTTATCTACATTGTCACCTAGTCCTAAATAACATTTTAGGCGGCTTTCTTTTTCCACGCATAGTTGTCTAACAAACCTGGCTATATTTGCCTGCATGCTAGACAAAGTCATTTTATGAATAAGTATACGGCATACACAAACACCGCAGTTATAAAAATGATAATGAGGTGTTTTTCTCAGTTTGTTCATATTGTATACTAAACTTTTCACGGACAGTCACCCTTACAATGACT